TTGATTTTCTTTATTGTTAAGACCTTCGAGCCTTTTTAGGGACATTATCAGGCTGAAGGGTAATGTTGCCAGAACCCCATGAGGCTGGTTTTAATACCAGGTTCCGCTGATTCATTAGGTTCATGTGACTTCTTGAGATGCCTTGGTGTCATCTGTGATTCTGTAATCGAGAGATAGTGTTGTGTGGTGGTTTAGCTTGATTTCCTGGGTTGAAATTTAGCTTTATTTAATCATTTAAAAATATGCAGTATCTACTATTTGCAAGGCACTGTCTTAGGTCCGTGAGATAAAGGTATCAGTGAATCAAACAAAAATTCCTTCTCTTGTGGAACTTATGGTTGAGGGCAGTAAAAAATAATAAAACATCATAAATAAGTAGGTTATATAATATGTTAAGAGGTGGTAAGTACTATACAAAATGTATAATGGATAAAAAGAGAATTAGGTGAATGTATGTGGGGGCAGGTTACAACTTTAAATGTCATGGCAGGAAAAAGCCTCATTAACAAGATGATGAGTGAGCAAAGACTTGAAGTTGGTAGGGAATTTTTGGTTCTGAGGGTCTCTGGGGGAAGAGTATTTCAGGCCTTGGAGTAGCCCTTGCAGTGGGCCCTACAGGTGGTAGCATGCGCGAAGATCTTGAAGATAAGGAGGTCTGGTCAGTGAGACTCAAGTGGAGTGAGCTAGACTCAGGGGTGTCCAACCTGTGGCCCATGGTGGCTCAGGATGGCTATGAATGTGGCCCAACACAAAGCCGTAAGTTTACTTAAAACATTATGAGATTTTTTTTTGTGATTATGTGTTGCAATGTATTTAATATGTGGTCTGGGACAAATCTTCTGCTAATGTGGTCCAGACAAAAGGTTGGACACCCTGGAAGATGAGGTCTGAAAGCTGACAGGGCGACAGTGATGGCGGTGTGGGGGGGGGAGGGGACAGCACAATAAATTATTTACCATAATGAAGATTTCAGTTCTGCCCCTCTCTGGTTTTATAACCTTTGGTAAGTTATTTAACCCTTCTTTTTTTTCTTTTGTAAAATATGAATAATAATAGCACCAATCTGATAGGTTTGTTGTTTGGTTTAAGTGAGTTAATACCTACAAAACCCTAGGAACACTACTAAGCAAAGTCCAAAGCATTTTTAAATGTGGAATCAAAATTAAAACTCCTTTCTTCCTTTTCTTTTGAAGTGGTGGCCCAGGGAAAATAATTGCTCTCTGCTTTGATTTACCACATATACATTATTATCACAAACATTTGTTGTTTGTGTACTTACTATCCTTGCTAAATTATGAACTCCTTTGAGTAGAAATCATGGTATTTTGTGCATGTCTTAAAAATCTTACTTAGGTAGTGTGTTGTACATACATATCAAGTGATCAAAAATACTGACTCAATGGCAAAAGCATTGGCTTAAATAACAAATCAGACCGTCTGCTAGCAAATTTATTGGAATATTGCCAGTCTATCAAAACGAAATAATTTTATTTTTTAAAAAGATTTTATTTTTATCTTTAGAAAGAGAGGAAGGTAGAAAGAACAAGAGGGAGAGAAAGGCTGATATAAGAGAGAAACATTGACCCGTTTTGCCCTTGCATGTGTCTCAAGCAGACACCAGACCTGCAACCTCGGCATTCCGGACCGGAAATCAAACCAGAGACCTTTTGTTTTGCAGGACTCTACCCAACCACCTGAGCCATGCTGGCCAGGACTAAAATGAAATAATTTTAGTTTGGGGGAGGACAATAGCTAATGGTCCCTGTAGAAGATTTCATTAATTTTCTTTATGCACCATAGTTATTGAAATTTGTATTGGTAGAAAAATTGTCTTAATTATTAAATAAATGTGAAGTCCCTAAAAAATGAAGTCCATATTTACACTGTAGTATGGATCTATTAACATATATAGACTAAAAATAAACATCATGATTGGTAGCATACATATAAAATTCCAATTTAGAGTATGTTTTTAATCTTCATTTGACTGTTTATACCTGCACAAATGATTATAATTAGGGAATATTTAGCCAGTAAAAGCTTGAATCAGAAGAATTGCTAAGCAAGAATATACACTAACTTCTGAAGTGGGAGAGTGGCAGGAAAAGAAGGAGCTATTAACGGACCTTTGGGTCGTTGTCCAAGTCACTTTATCCCTTATTTTGTACTCCAGGTTTTAGTTTCTAGCTTGGTAGGTTCTTTTCTTCTCCATTGTTGGTGGAGAGGGTTGGGAGAAGAAAAAGAGGGATAGAAACTTGGAAGGAGAAATGAAATTGGTAGATAATGCTAAGTGAATTAGGGTTCCAGAGATAGAGACGTATGGCAGGTGGGTTAGGGGAAATTGTGGGTTTCCATGGTGGAAGAAAGGTTGTAATGGGAAAGATACCCCAAAATTTCTGTTTATAGATTTAGACTTTGAGGTTATATTATCTTGTGCATGTTCATGTGGGAGAGAGGCATGTTTATTTTTTCCTCCTTCCTTCACTATTTTATTTTTTCTTTTAACTTCCCAACTTCCTAGTGTAACACATTGCACAAATACTTAACCATTGTGTTACAGTTGTCCACAGTATTCAGTACAGTCTAGTCATGTTCTTCGCTGTATGACAGCCTTAATTTAGGCCTTTTAAACAAAAAATTAACATTTCAGAAACATTTGTTCAGTCTGTGGATGTTACTGTATTATGAGATGACTTAATGTAATATGTTTGTGGACTAGATATATCCAATCAACTTTTAAAAAGATTCAGAATGTAATACTAAAATGTATAATTAGAAGGCATTTTTATTTCCTCTATGCAGAGTTTGCCATGTTTTTTCTGTCAACTTTATTTTTGTAGCCATGTTAGAAATTCTGAAAGTTGAATACAGTAAAGAACATTAGAATGGTGAGGAGCAGTGTAGTGCAGATACTGTTTTGCTTTACCTGTTTGTAATGACTACCACAGTAACATAATGTGCCACACAATGTTTCCTGCAATGATGGACCGCCTTTACAACCTTAGTTCCATGAGATTATAATAGAACTGAAAAATTCTTATCACCTAGTGACAGTGGAGCTGCAAAATTCGTATTGGTGCCCTAGCCCTCCTAAGGGCCTATTAGTCCTAACTTCCTAGTGTAACACATTGCACAGATACTTAACCATTGTGTTTACAGTTGTCCATAGTGTCCAGTACAGTACCGTGCTGTAAAGGTTTGTAGCATAAGAACTGTAGGGGAACAGAATGTGTTGCCCTCGAAATATGTCTGTTTGGCATAGGATTATGTTAGGCTGGTTAATTTTAAGAAATTGAAGACATGGGAAAAATTCTGAAAACCAGGTAGAAGTTACACTTTGTAAAAGATACATTTGTAAGGGAAACTTCCATTTGTAAGGTTTCTCCCTCAAGTTCCTGGGTTGGGGACGCGGGATGATTTTATCGTTAGAAACTTACGTATTTCAGAAGACCACTCCCCACAACAACCTTACCCTAGTTTACCATGCTTTTCCTGGTAACCTCCCATAACTGACTGACTCCTTCCAAGCCACATCTACTTCCGTCTTAAGTAAAGATGGTATTTAAAGTGGTGGGTCAGCCATTTTGGCGAGTTGTCCGGTTTTCCTGGGTCTCTCCCACTGATACAGGAGGTATACATGCTATTAAATTTTTGTTTTTCTCTTGTTAATCCGTCTTTTATTACAGGGATGTCTCAGTCAAGAACCCAGAAGGGTAGAGGATAAATTTTTTTTCCTCCCCTACAGAGAGCAATAGACTATATACTATGCAGCCTAAATGTCCAGTAGGCTACCCCACCTAGGTTTGTGTAAGTGCACTCTGTGATGTTTGCACAATGATGAAATAAGCCTAATGTCGCATTTCTTAGAATGTATCCTTATGGTTAAGTGGCACGTAACGTTAATATATTTAATGGCTTTTATTATCTTTTTGATACTATCACTATAGAAATATGTATTTTAAGAAGTTTTTACATAATGGAGAAGAATGGCATATATGCCCTTTTGAAAATCTGGGAAAAAAGCTTTGAGGCAAGCAATTAAGAACTTAATAGAAATAAATTATTTTAAAGTAGATTGTTTTTGGTAATTGGTGGAGCGACAAAGCTCTGGACTACAAAATGTTGGATTATCAGAAGGCCGTAGTGTTTGTAATCTCTTGACAAAATTATATAACACAACTTTGAAATAATGTACTTGGTTATTTTCTACAGATTTAAAGTTTCCTTAATTTTTCTGCTTTTGTAGCTATATTGATTTGCAAGATATTTATTGAGCCCTAAAAAATGTGTGAGGGCTCAACACATTTTTTGGGTTCCTTTATAAAATACTTCATTATTTCCTAATAAATTATATTTGGCCTCTTGTTTATAATAAAGTGTCTGCTTTTAATTATCCATTTACTGTATCAGGAAGAAATATCCTAGTTACACAAAGACATTGTGTGTCCAAGAGCAATGCAGTATTCACAAAGGGTGTTAATCTTCTGTTTAAAAATATGGATCATTTTGGCATTATTAAATACTTTTGCCTTGAAAACTTTCAGTACTTACTATTTTTGTATTTTTAGAAACTATATTCCTAATATATTTAGACTTTTGAGCTGAGGGAAATGTTACTGTGGGATTTCATGAAGAAATACTACTAGTGGCATAATGGAGAGTATTTAACGTAAGATTTTAAAGAAACACATTTTGTGCTGTTTCCTATTTTAAATTGTTTAAGATAACTTTAGATTTATTGCCCTGATTTTAAAGAAATCTTTATCCTCAGTTAGAAGTTAAATGTGGAAAAGTCCAATGAATGTTAGGGTCATTTCTTCATGATACCATTTAGCACTAAGTACTAGTTGCTACTAGTTTGATTTAATTCAACAGTATCTGTCACGGAAAAACTTTTGTTGGATTTAGCATATTTAGATACAACTGCTTTATACCTGACTTTAAGAACATGTCCAATCCTGATTCTTTTGGGGGTAACCTGTATTTTTGTACTTTTATAGGATAGAGGGAGGAATCAGCAGCTTGGAAATTCAACCAAGTGATCTGGCGGGATGGGCATTTGCCTGACATATTTTATAAAGGTAATCCAATTCTGTTTTCCTCAGTCTTTATTTTTTGCCTATGTTAGATGCCCATATGCTTGCATATAAACACACTGATAGCAACTGCATTTACTAGACCATCCCTTTCCCTTTTACACCCACCTATATATAGCTTGAATATTACATGCACATAGCATACCACTATATATAGATATAACACCTGTACATTGAAATGAATTAATACTATTAGTTTTAAAAGATGAAGATAATTATCTTTCCTCACGTAAGTAGATTACTTGCATGTCTTCTTTCTTGTTGACCTATGTTGATGCATATATTGGACCTGTGCTTTATCTTTAAAAGTGAAAGGAAATTAAACATTTAACAGTTTTCAGGGTATTTACATATCTGTCAGTGGCACACATTCTCATGTCTCTCATAAATTTTATTTGAGAAATCTTTTAAAACAAGGATGTGAAAATATTAGCAGTTTTAGTGGCCATATTTTCAGTTGGTTCCCCCCCCCCACGTTTTCTGGTAATTGTCATGTTCAGCTTTTCTCATTCCTTAGCAAGGGCTTATTATAAGAGGACTGCATGCCGATGCAGTAGAGAATATTATAAGATTAAAGAAAAGGCTTTCCCCTTTCCAATTCACTGTTAACATGTGTGTGTGTGTGTGTGTGTGTGTGTGTGTGTGTGAAATTTTGTATACATGTGGGAGCATTTATAGCTCCACCTGTATTTACATATACTTTACACAAATGAGATCGTACTGTATATATTGTTAAACAACATGTCTTTTTTGTTGTGGTAAACTTTTGTGTCTTTGCATATTGTTCCTTATTTCATTCCCTGTAGTATCCCAGTAATTGGATGTTCCATAATTATTTTAACTGTCACCCTTTTATGGATATTTAGGTTTTTAGTTTTCTTTCTCTGTAACAAGTGCTATTATAGTGAATATTCTTGGGAATGTCTTTGCACATATTTTAAAATATATTTACAATATAAATTCTTGAGGGAAATATTATTGGTCCAAAGAGTATCTACATTTAATAATTTGGTGGATGAATTGTGTAACTATAAAGATTGCCCCAGTATCAGTAGTTCTTGGATAATGGAACTCCACTTTGACAACATGACTTAGTGTCAGACTTTTTAGTATTCGTGAGTTTTTTGTTGCTTAGTATTCCTTTTCAAATTTTCAGTATGAGTGTGAGCACTTTTTCCAGTATTATTGCCCATATGTGTATTTTTCAGTGATCTTTTTGGTCATGTGCTGAGCCCCTTCTCATTTGTTAGGCAGGTTATTTTCACTGAGGTTTTGCTTATCTTTTGATTTTTTTTTTTTTACCTTACAGAAGTTTTAATTTGTTAATGCTTGAGGGTGGGAAGGTTTCTGTGTGAGGTTTAAAAGTTCTTCACTATTAATTGTAGGACTCAGTGGTCCCTCCTCATTATAACATTCCTGAATCACATTAATCGCTGGTTTGTCATAGTTTGACAATAAATTATTTTCTTTCATAGTGACACATAAAATATTTATGTATCTTGAGATTGGTAGTTTTAGATTCAGTAAACTATGGTACTTGAATAAAACTTACACAGGTTTTCTATTACATTTTATGGTTTAAATTGTTTAAAATCTTGTTATATGGAAAATATTTGGTATAAGCAATGGATGTAGACATCCAGCTTTACTTTTTTCCAGGTGACTATCCAGTTGTCCCCTTCCAGTTAGTGAATGATGTATTTTTAAAAAAATCCTCACCTGAGGACATGCTTATTGATTTTAGAGATGGGGAGGGGAGGGAGAAACAGAAGGAGGGAGAGAAACATCGATGTGAGAAGAACATTGATTGGTTGCCTTTTGTAGGCATCCCAACTGGGGACGAACCCATGACCTAGTTATGTGCCCTAACTGGGAATCGAACCCGCCACCTTCCGGTTTGCCGCTGGTGCCCAAGCAGTGGAGCCACACTAGCCAGGGTGAATGATGTAGTTCTTTCCTACATGTTTGAAATGCCACATTTATCATACACTAAATTTCCTTGTTAATGGGGGGGGTGGCTGTTTCTGAAACCAGTCCAGTTCATCTGCCTGCCTGTTTTTGTATTGATAATATTAAGAGAATTCACTAAAGGAGGTGCTTATAAAATGAATATGCATAATTAACTTTTTATACAAATAATAGACTTTGGGACTGATAATGGAAGAAAAGATATATATTGACAATAACAAAAAGATAAAAATGCCTTGGAGCAATCTATTTGAAAACTTTGAAGCTCTGTTAAGGGATAAGAAAGAAAATTTGAATCAATTCAGATTTTTGTTGGGAAGATATGGTATGAAGTAGAATTGATTTCTGTTTAATTGATCTAGTATCTTGTGACCTTGCTGAATATGTTTCTTGAGACTGTGCTGAACTTGTTCATTAGTTCTCATAGCTCTTTTTGTGGAATCTTTGGGAAATTTCTAAATACAGAATCATCAGAAAACGAAGACCTTTTTTCCTCCCTTTTAAATCATGATACCTTAATTAATTAATGCCTGCTTTATTTTACTAGCTAGAACCTTCATTGTTGAATAGAAGTGGGTAAACTGGATGTCATGATTTTTACAGGAAAAACTTTAACCATTAAGTATGATGTTACTTGTGGGTATTTTGTGGATGCCTTTTATCAAGTTGTGGAAGTTCTCTTCTAGTATTACTATTGATGAAGGTTTGTTTTTTTTTTTAAATCATGAATAGATATTGAGTTTTGTCAAATGCTTTTTTCTGTCTATTGAGGTAACCATGTAGGTTTTGTTTTTTCTTATCTTAATATGGTGTATTACATTAATTGATTTTCAAATGTTAAACCAACTTTGCATTCATGGGCCAAATCTACTTGGTTATGGTGTAAGGGCTCTTTTACACATTGTTGGATTCAGTTTGCCAATATTTTGTAAGCATTTTTTGTATCTTTGTTTATGAGAGACACTGGTGTGTAGTTTTCATGTGATGTCTTTGTCTGACTGGTATCAGGCAGGGTAACTCTGGCATCGTAAATGGAGCTGCAGAATGTACCCTCTTCCTCTCGTGAAGGAGTTTGTGAAGGATAGGTATTTCTTAAATATTTGAGGGAATTCATCAGTGAAGCCATTTGGACTTGGTCTTTTTTTCTCTTTTCTGTGGGGGAAGATTTTTAAGTACTAATTCAGTTTGTTTATTTGTCATAGTTAGATTTTTCTGTCTCTAGTCAGTTTTGATAATGTTTCTTTTTAGGAATTTGTGTATTTCATAGAAGTCTCATTTGTTAGCATAAATTTGTTTATAATATTTTTTCCATTATAATTCTTTTAAAATTACTTTCATTGAAGTATAATTGACATGTAACATTTGTTTCAGGTTCTTAGAATAATTTGGGGAAGAGGGGTCAGAGTAATGTCTCCTCTCTTATTCCTGATTTTGGTAATTTGTTTTTCTTTTTCTCTTTGATTTTGATGAATTTACCTAGAAAAGTTTTTAAGAGGGGAGGGGAGGATGAGAGGGAGAGAAACATAGATTGGTTGCCTCTGGTATGTGTCCCCACTGGGAACCAAACCCAAAACCCAGGCATATACCCCTACCAGGAATTGAACTGGTGACCCTTTGCTTTATGGGCAATTGCGCCACACTGGTCAGGGCTGATTTATTTATTTATTTTTTAAAGAGCCAAGTTTTTCTCTAATTTTCTTTTTTGTAGTTTATTACCTTTTGTTTTGATTTTTATTATTCTCTTTCATTGGCTTGTTATAGGATTTAGTTGGCTCTTTTTCTGTTTTGTTAAGGTGGAGGCTTTCTAAAAAATGCATACTTAAAGTTAAAAATTTCCTTAGATTTTGATACGTTTTTGTTTTTATTCAGTTAAAAATGTTACCTAATTTCTCTTTTAATTTCTTCTTTGACCCATATATTATTTAGAAATATTAAGTTTAATTTCCAAACACTTCAGGATTTTCTAGTTTCTAATTTAATTGATACCTAATATAATTCTGTTATGGTTGGAGCACATTGTATGACTTCAGTCCATTTATATCTGTCTTGGAGAGTATTTCATGGTGCCTGACAACAATATATATTCTTTTGTTTGCTGGAGTTTTCTATATATGCCAGTTGGTTGATAGTATGATTCAGCTTTTCTGTATTGCCAGTTTTCTGTCTAGTTACTATCAGTTATTTAGAGTAAAATTCCCCACTATGATTATTTGATTTTTTCTTTACACTTTTCAGTGATGTTAGTTATTGCTTCATTATTTTGCGAGCTCTGTTCTGTTTTTAGGTGCATACATACTTATTATTATGATATCTCCCAGATTTTTTGACTCACTATCATTATGAAGTATTTTTCTTTGTCTCCAGTAATATTTATCTTAGAATCTATTTTGTTAAATATTTTTTCAAAGATTTTATTTATTTATTTTTAGAGAGAAGGGAAGGGAGGGAGAAAGAGAGGGAGAGAAACATCAGTTAGTTGCCTCTTGTACTTGTTCTAACTGGGGACTGAACCACAACCCAGGCATGTGCTCTGACTGGGAATCGAACCTGTGAGCTTTCCCTTTGTGGAATTACGCCCAACTGAGCCACATTTGTCAGGGCTATTTTATTTAATAGTAATATAACTATTCCAGCTCTCTTAGGGTTATTGTTTTCATAGTATATCCTCCCCTCACCCCCAGCCCCAACTTTTCCTTTCAGTCTTGAATATAAAGCATGTCTTTTGTTGACAGCTTATCATTTAATCTTTTTTTGGTCCATTCTGACAGACTCTTCCTTTCCTTTGGGCTGTTTAGACCATTCACATTTAATTATAGACATGGTTGGATTTACATCTGCCATTTTGCCATTTGTTTTTTATGTTTCTCACAGTTTTTGTTCCTCTGTGCCTCCTTTTGTGTTAAATATTTTTTAGTGTGCTATATTACTCTATATAAATAGTTACTCTTTTTTTTTTTTAACTAAACATAATTCAAGGTATTTTCTTTGTGGTTGCTGTAGGGTTTACAATGTGCATTCTTTCACTCTGCTTAATATTAACACTAACTCAGTATCAATAAAATATAGAATTTTACTCCAGTATAGCACCATTTTCTCCCTTCACTACTGTGATACTGATATATATTGCATCTATATATGCTGTAAGCCCAGCAACACAATGTTATAATCATTGCTTTATACAATCTTGTGTCTTCTAAAGACATTAAGAGAAGAAATGAGAAAAATATAGTCATGTGTCACTTAATGATGGGGATACATGCATAAAAATGTGTTGTTATAGAAGTGTGTTGTACTAACATAGAGAGCACTTACACAGACCGTGATGGTATAAACTAGACTATATGGTATAGCTTATTGCTTCTAGGCTACAGACCTGTACAGTATGTTATGTACTGAATACTGTAGATACTGTTAATGCACTGTGGTATGTTACAATGGGTAAGACCTCAGTATATGAAATTTTTCAGCTCCATATAATCTTAAGGGAGACCACTGTCATATATGTGGTCTGTCATTGACCAAAATGTTATATGGGGTGCATGACTGTATTGTAACCCATGTATTTACCATTTTTACCATTTCTGGTTTTTTTAAAATTTTTTTTTTATTTTCAGAGAGGGAAGGGAGGGAGAAAAGGAGAGAAACATCAATGTGTGGTTGCCTCTCATGCGCCCCCTACTGGGGACCTGGCCTACAACCAAGCTTGTGCCCTAACTGGGAATTGAACTGGTGACCCTTTGGTTCACAGGCCAGCACTCAATTCACTGAGCCACACCAGCCAGGTGTTTTTGTTTTGTTTTGTTTTTTCCTTCCTGTGTATTTGAGTCTGGTCTTTTCCTCTCAGCTCATGCACTTCTTCATTATTTCCTAATAGGCACTTCTGCTAGCAAAAAATTCTCTCAGCTTTAGTTTATCCGAGACCATATTTGCCTTTATTTTTGAAGGATAATTTTGCTATCTTTTGGTTGATGGATTTTTTTATCCCAGCACTTTGAATATGTGATGCCACTGTCTTCTGGCCTTTATTGTTTGTGATTTAAAGTCAGCTCTTAATTGTGCTGATGGTTCCCTGAACATGCTGAGTGATATTTCTGTAACACTTGCTAGATTTTTCTTTTGAGTTTGCTTTTACCAGTTTGCTTATGATGTGTCTTGGTGTGGTCTCTTTATATTTATTCTACTCTAAATTCATTGAACTTCTAAGACCTGTAGATTTGATTTCTTTTAAAAAATTAAATTTGGGACGGTTTTGGCTGGTTATTTAAAAAATATTTTTTTTTCTGCCCTTTTCTCTCCTTCTGGGACTCCAGAAATATTGGTAAGTTGGTCTTTGACACTTTGTTCAATTTTCTTCAATCTTTTTTCATCTGTTCTTCAAACTGGATAATTTTTACCCATGTGTCTCTCTTTAAGGTCATTGATTTTTTTTTTCCTGCTATTTTTACTTTTACCATATCTATAGTAAATGTTTTGAAATCTCTGTTTGCTTAAACCAGGATCTGGGGATATGCAGAAACAGTTTGTAGTGACTGCTATTTTTCATTAATATGGGTTACATTTTTCTTTTTTAAAATATATACATCTTATAATACATCGTTGAAAACTAGGCATTTTATATTATTTATGGGAGCAATTCTGGATTGTGGTATCCCCCTTCTGCCCAGGTTATTGTTACTGTTGTCATTTCATTACCATTTATATGATACAATCCTATTGAAAGAAAATGAATTTCATTTTGGACAAAAGTTTATCTGAAAAAATTGACATGCCTAAGTATCCAGGAAAATTTTGAAATAGAAGAGTGCTGAGGATGAATAGCTTCATCACAGTTGGAAGTTTTTAAAAATAAGGATACAGTGTTGAAATGTTTATAAAAGTGAATTAATATACTTTCTGAAATTCAAAGATGGAATTATTACTGGTTTGTTCTAGGTGAAAAAGACTATTCTTACCTTGCACCATTGTAAAAACTGATATAAACTCATAGGAGTTTTCATATGTTATTTGGTCTCCAGACTTCCTGTGAAGGAGTATATATGAATTGTTCTTGATGGATAGGAACCTAATATTTTCAAAGACCTCTGTGGTAGGAAATTCCATAAATTCTTTAGTGTTTTATTAAGCTCAGAAATACTGTCAGGAGGTTTTCTTCTTGTGTGTAGCTTATGTCTTGGTTTTTATTTTTTATTTTTGGATATGGTACACAGTCTCTCTATGATGATTTTCATCTTTTTGTAAGCTTTTTCTGTCAAAGATGATTTTGCTGATTATGTTTCTGAAACTAGATATTTAATTTTTACAACTGTAATCCTTTCTATTGTGATTACATATGCATTTTGTACATGACTAGTTTTCTTTGTTATTTCTAAGGTTTGGTATTGTGTTTGCTCCTTTCTTTACTTTGTAGATATTACAAAGCAGATAAGAATAATGTTTTTCAGTGGTTTTGTAATCTTTGTTTTCATTCTTCTAAACTTTTAGGTCTGTAATTCTCTGAATATCCTTCCATGTCCCATATATCTGAATGTGTAAACTCCAGATCTAGGCGAGTTATTCTCTATAAGGCAAGGGTTATATCATAGTTACTACTTACCATTGTATCATCCTAGTTTCAGACTTTAAACAAGTCATTGAACTGGTCATTCAGGCATAGCTTATTATTTACAAAGAATGATCATTTCATTATTGGTACCAGTCTCTCCATATTGTATTTGTACAATATCTTTTTCCTCCATTAGTAATGTGTCTTGTTCATTGTGGTTTTTTGTTGTTTTTTTTTTGTAGGAATTGGATGGCATAAGTGATTAAGGTGATACTGAGATTAAGGGTCGCTGAAGCCTATGAAAGGTAGAAACTCAATCATGATTTCTTTTCCAACTCTACAGCATTCCCTTCCTTGAAGTCTTCATTTTTACCATAGTCTCAGGTAATTTCAGTACTTGTTTTTCATAATAAAATTTTCAAATATGAAACCAGTATTTGGATGCTAGGATTTCATGTTGAGTTTGTACAATAATTTCTTTACGCACTGGTATTTATATTTCATAGAAATTTAGGATTTAACTTTTTCCCCCTGAGATAAAAGTGTGATGAGAAAATCAATGAATAATGACACTATTGTATTTTGACATGTATAATGCGCTTCCATGTATAATGCGCACCGCCGTTTTTGTGCGCATTATACATGGGATTATTATACTCATCGTTTTACCTATGACATGTAATCATTATACCCATGTATAATGCGCATCCTTATTTTTCTCTCAAAAATTCAGACAAAAAAGTGTGCATTATCCATGGCAAAATACAGTATTTTAGATTTTAAGTTTAGTTCTGAAAAGAACAATATGTGAAGCTTATTGTGTAATTTTAAGTGAAATTTAAGTGGGAAGATTTTTTTTCTTTAACCCTTTTTCTGTGTAGGGCATTGTATTTTTCACCTACCTGTCATCAACACATATATGAAGTATGTTCAGAAGATATACAGCCATGTAATATGAAAAATAGAGACATTTACTCTGAAGAAAATACAAGATATACAAGAAACATTGTACACAGGACAATGATGCCCCAGTCCCCTTCAAAGTAGGCACCTTGGAACCTCACGTAGATCTCTCAGTTGCCATCAGCTGCTCTGTCATATTTCCCTGAATCTCATTGATGGTCTCAAATATCTTTCCGTTCAAAGGTGATTTTAGTTTTGGGAAAAGCCAGAAGTCATAGGGTGCCAAATCTGGGCTGTAGGGGGGCTGAGTCATCTGGGTGATGTGATGATTCCCCAAAACACTCTGCATGAGGTGTGATGCATGAGCAGGTGCATTGTCATGATGAAGCTGCCAGTCACCAGTTGCCCATAGCGGCAGCCTTCTGAATCATCTGAATAGTTTCCACAGAGGAATAATGTTCAAGCTTAATGCAAAATTTGAGGCAGATTCATTGCTCTATTCGCTCAGCCATTTTGAAAGCAATGGCCACAGTTACACATGCTCATTCAACAGCATCTAATACTGCCCCACTGGCTAGTACAGTGCAGTCGTCATTGTTCACTCACATGCATTCCAGTCCACTCTCCTTGGTTGCCAGGTTACACGGATGTCATGCAAACTGCTCTCATTATATTAATAATGGCTGGACTTTGTCCTCATAGACCTCATATACCTACATTAAATTTTCCAGGATTTCCAAGGAAACTTTTTTTATATGTGGGAACATTAGACCTATTAATCAAATTTAATGGTGTTTGGCATATAATTTTTCAAATGTGAACAGGCATATCAGTTACTCTGCATTTGTACATGTTGTGTTTGCCTATACTATTATCAAAAAGCAGTATGTGCAATAGGTGAATCAGTAATCATTTATATTAGATATACTAATTAAAATACAGACTTGGCTACTATGACAGAGGCTTCTTTGTCTTGCTCTGCTCTTATTATGTTGCTTCTATCTTGTGGCCCAAGATGGTTACCATGGTGTCTGCCAACAGGAAGAAGGAAAAGAGATTATTTTCCTTTCCTTTAAGGGGAGTTATGTACACGATTTCTGCTCATTCCCTTGGGATAGGAGTAGTAATGAGTCATACCTAGAGGTAGTCATGTGTCTCACTTGAGAACAGAGTTGGGGAGGGGCAGAGCTAAGCTTGCTGTCTGTCATATTAGGCTTCGTGTCAGATTTCCTTTGGCTAGTTTGGACTAGCATTAAAATACAATTTTTACTATCTAAGACTTGTTAACTCTTGGCCTGGAACAATACTTTGGAAATTGTGCTTATTCGAGTTCTGAGACAATTTGTGTTTGTGACTAGCTGTTATGCCTCTTTAACTAAACACTGCTAGTCTTGACATCACAAGATGGTGTAAGGTATTAAAAGTCAAAATTGATTTGAGAATTCCTCATTTTGTTATACTGTCATTAGGTGGAAACAATTTGTCTACATTTCAGACTCCCAAGTCAAGAGTGCGGCCTTGGATGGGAAGAATATTTAGCTACACATAACGCTAAATGATTGTTAACTGGTTCCTTCTAATTCTAAAAAGTCTGTTATTTTAAATGTTTAGATACCATCAGAACAACTATGCCCAAGGACATTATGTACTTTAAATAGTTCTTTTTAGACAAAAATTATTGCATTGCACATTCTATTTTATGGTGCTTTTCCTGTCGTAAATACTGTATTTTGAAACAACTATCAAATACTATATATTTCTTTTACAGGATTTATTTAAAGGGTTGGAAACTAGTTGTCAGTTTTCTACCATAGTTTGTCAAGATATATTAACTTTGGTACTTTCTTTTAAAAAAAGAATTGAGATAACAGTTTTTGATAAATTTGGATACTTGTATACAGTAGTTATACTGGGATTATTGATTTAAGTTTATTATTAAATGGTTATAAGACAGGTGTTTTTGGCATTGAGGCAATGAATGCATCTTTAGTGCTATTGCACTTCACAAATAGGGTTTGTATTATTAAAGTCAGAGCATTTATCTAATCTTTAAAAGAATAAAAGGTTGTTGATAAAGTAGTTATCACTTTTCTGTTCTGGAATGAATTTTGGTTGCTATAATAGTACATATTAAAAATAACTTAGGTGTTTAATGTTTGTTCACAGTGTACAGGGAAGTTTGTTTTAGTAAATAGTTTTGGTACTGCTTTTATTATATAAGACTGTAAAACTCACAGTTTTCCTAGTAATAGAATAAGCATTTTTAATATTAACATTTGAATTGTCTGCATAAAATGTGATGGATGAAACAACTAGATCGAGCAGAACGTTGGGTTCCCTTTTGTGATGAATTAAAAACTGTCTTAAGCAGTTTGGGTCACCATAAATTTACATTGTTTAGAAGACTTTGGTGATTAATATTTGGAATTCAGAATATGTGTAGATTCTGCTTTTTTTTTTGAGTGGTAGCTTCAGGCATATAGAAATGACTGTTATTTGGCTTTAATATATATAACATTTTCTGTGTTTAAAAAATGATCACAGGTTTTTCTTTAGTTACTATATTGTGTAAAGTGATTGATCTTAGCCTGTAAATTCTCTCATTAAACATCTTCTGTTGTTGCTAGCAATAATCAGATGGACATTTTTTGTCTGGTTGCCTTTATTATAAATGATATTCCTATTAGGATGTTTAAAAAAATTGCAATTTAAAAAAATCATCAAAGGGCATAGTTTATAGGTGCAAAATGGAAGTTATACACAGGTATATCTGAAGGGATTTCTGAACTTAGAATATACCTAGATCAGAAGTAGATTTTGTTTATAAATTGAAGATGAAGTAGTTCTTACTTAGATCAAACTATACTTCTGAAGGCTGAGAATATAAAACTTACAAGTGATAAATGGCAAATTCTTAAATCCATATTAATCATTGGTTTCTTTCTTTCTTGCTTTGTCTTATCCATTGATCTTTTCAAAAAGGTTTTATTTATATTTAGACAGAGGGGAAAGGAGGGAGAAAGAGAGGGAGAGAAATACAGATGTGCAAGAGAAACATTGATCAGCTGCCTCTTGGTGCTCCCCCAACTGGGGACCTGGCCTGCAGCCTAGGCATGTGCCCTGACAGGGAATCATACCAGTGACCTTTTGATTTGTGGGGTGATGCCCAATCCACTGAACCACATCAGTCAGGGATTATCATTCGATCTTGATGCTGCTTGGTATTTGTATTTCTGATGCTGACATATTAAAGTTGTAATTTCTCACTGACTCTGTGTAGGTTAGAAATGTTAATATACAACTTAATGTAACTGGCATCTTCCAAATAACAAGGAGTTTGCCGAAAATGCTTTGGATCCGAAGTAATCTGTGAAATAGAGTTTTTCTTTTTTTTACCTCTTTCAGAATAGATTCCTCTGAGTACTTCTCTTTTGCCTATAAGCGAGGTTTCTTTATAGGTTGAGTGGGTCCTGGTATAAGATTGGTATTGTTGATTTGGAAAATGTTTTGATTTGAAAATTACTTTTTACATAAAAGAATGATGTGTAGGTTCTTAAACTTACTGTAATTTTTTTTGATTCATAATATATAGTTGAAGTTCTACATTGTTCAGTAAAAGTTGATAGAAAATAATATTACAGCTAAACTCATTAAATAAAGCAGAAAAAGCAGTATTTTGAAGTGAGAAATATTTCTTTTGTTATTGAGTGCAGATTTAATTAAAGGCGATAAAGTGGCAGGTGAATAATTACATATATTCTGAACGGGAGTTAGGTGCTTTCACCTTAAAGCTTACACCTTTATTTTCTTTGGTATAGGTATGTCATTAGCAATGTGCCTACATTGATCAGCCATATTTAGGATTATTATTATTATTTGATTTCCAAATGAAAAGAGCAAGATAAAGGAAAGAGAGGAAGAGACATTTTCCTGAAGTAACTTGGTAAAGGTTTCAAGAAGAAATGGAAAGATTAAGACAGCATATGCACATTCATGAAAAATAGAATAAAAAGAAATTCACTGAGGTGTGAATAATAGATGGAAGTGGTACAACAGGACATGCAGAAAGTGTCCATTTCCCCTGAAGGAGAAAAGGTATTCTATGTTACAAAATTCTCCTAACCATGATGTGGGAATAGCCAGTTAAGGAGAGTTGGATTGCTTTACCAAGCCAAGCAATGGCCTCAGAAGTAGGTGGGTAAGAAGACAATGAATTCACTGAGTTCTTACTGTGTCCAGTGCCTTTTCAAGTCAGGAGGCAGTATGGTATGGTAGGTGGTGTATTAAAACAGGTAAACCTACTTAGAAATCATAGTTTAACTCCCCCTTAGCTATATAACTTTGGGTAAAATTCACTTTCTTCATCTGTTAAATGGGGATTACTCTTAATGTCTTGAGTGTTATTGTGAACATTAAGTGAAGTAAGATACATAAATGTGCGTATCACGGTGCTTTTCGAGGTTATGATAATTTCTGAACTT